TTTTCTAGTATTCAGTGGGATTGCTAAAGCAGATATAAGTGGCTAGGGATGGAAAAGAGAAATAAATATTTTTGATAGGGGTAAAAAAGGGGAAGGTGAAAATGGAAAGGATTAGGGGGGTACAGGCTGCCATAATTTTTTTTATTTTTTCTTTTCAATTCCCCTGAAGAAGAATTTAGGGGCATGGGGGTTGGAAAAGGTTGGGAAAGGAAATAAAAAGCGCCCCGGACAGTAAAAAAACCCAAAAAGTTTTCAAACCTACCAGAAAAGTAAATGTCACTATCGCTGCAAGGTTTTGGCAAAACCGCATTTCCCAAACAAAAACAGTGGCACACAGCTCTTATTGTGCGCTCTTAAGTGGTGATATCCAAATTTTAAACCAGGGCCTCCAAAAATATTTTGCAGAGGAAAAAAAGACAGATAAATTTACGGCGTAATGGAGGGCTAGTAGCTAGGAAAGATAACCTTAAAATCCTATGTAATGCATAAATAGGTTTAGTGTGAGACAATTTCAGCCTTTTTTATTCAAAAAAATACCAAAAAAGGTTTCATACACTGTACTAAAGTACGCATGAAAAAAAAAAAGGCAAAACCCTTTTGTAAAATTGTAAGGGGTGGGTGATGATGGATGTATGTACAATTTTTAAAAAACGGTGCCAGAATTCATTTTGTGTGTAACAAAAGCACTTTGGGCACAGTTCCCTTTAGCAGTGATGACATTTTTTTACCTAAATTTAATACAAATGGGCCCATTGGGCCCTATATTTATGAATTTTGATTGTTTTATGAAACAGGCCTTACTTTATTCATTTTAAAGGGAAGTTTCCCCTTCCTTTTCCCAAATTGGCAGGGGATTAGGATTCAGCTAACAAAATTTGGGGGCAGTTTTAAAACCCTCTCTGAATCTTGGTTGGGTTTAAAAAGGTTTACTGACGCGAGGTCAAAATAGATTTGGTTTTCAATAAAAAACGCTTAGATAAGGAAAAGAAAGGGTGGTGGGTATGTGCCACATTTTTGAAAAAAGATTAGCTTACAAAACCCCCAAAACCTGATTTAAATAACATAAAGGAGAATTTTTATGGTTTTAAGTTTCTGTTCCCAAGACCAAAACCCCTTTTTGTAGGGGCAGTTACCGCCCTTTATACCCCCGGAACCCGTTCTTGAAGGGCTTTTCCAGAGGTTTTTGTCCGGAGTTGAAACAATTTCGAGACAAAAAATACTGGGGGACTTCAATATCTGTTTTTCGCAGCAAAAATAACGGGCTTTGCAAAAGGGGATAAGAAAATTTTTAGGATTAAATAGTTACACTAACTTTAAATTAAAACTTTCCAAAACCCCGGGTCACCAGTTTCAGCCACCCCAAATTTACCCCATACTTTGTAACCCCTTTGGAGAACTTTTGGGCAGTCAGGCGTTTATTCCCAGGGTTTTGTGATCTTTTTATTTTATTTACTGCCCCCAGGAAAATCACTGGGGGATAGGTTTGGCCTACAAGGACAATAAAAATGGGTTTTAACTAAAAACTAAAGTAAAAAAAACACTGGTAAATAGGCTACACAAATTTTGGGCTGGACAGGTTTAAAAAGTTGCAGGGGGTTTAAAAGATGCCCGGGAAAAATTCAAAACAATGTTCATACCTTTCCCTTTATAATACTGGGCCCGTTTTTAAAAAGGGGTTTGGATTAAAACGGGGAAAACTGAACCCCGGATGAATACTGAGTATTAGATAATATAAAATTTTAGAGACCAGCTGCTAAAAGAAATTTAAAACAAACAGGGCAGGGTATTGCAGCACTAAAAAGAATTCCCAAAGGGTGGGGGAAACCCGAGTTCAGAGACTTTTTAAAAGGAGCAAAGGGAAAGCAAATATGCTAAAAATTGAAGAGTATTAAGGAAAAACCCCAGAAGCTTGGCAACAAAATAAAAAAATTTGGGGTATAGCCCTAAGCCCGTAGGGTAGGTCTAACATAATACTCACTTCCATAAGGGGGTAGGCCCTGAAAACCCCCCCCCCCCCCCCCCCCCCCCTTAAGGTGGCAAATTGCTTTAATTCTTTCTACCCATCTGTTTTCATCAACACTTTGTAAAATAAAAATTTCCAAACCCGCATCAAAATACCTTTTTAAAACAGACTTGATAAGTTTCAAACATTTCTATACCCAATAAAGGGGGAACCCCCAAAAAGTTGTCAACTAGTAAGGTATTTTCATGAAAATTTTTCAAAAAAAATAAGAAAGGTTAAAACCCCAAAAAAGAGGGAAGGCCTGATAACAACCCTCTAAGTTCCTAAAAGATGGGGCTTCTGGGAAATGTTAATAACCCATTGCTCAATAATAAATTTTATCAATACCACTAAAACCGTACCGGAGGGGTTCAAGGAGGCCAGAGTTTTCTCCTATTTTTCAAAAAAAATTTGTAAAGGTTTGATGTAAGCAACTATTGGCCCGTTAGTATTCTCAGTTTAATAAACTAAAATTTTTAGAGGGGCGGTTTTATTTCAAGTAGTTAAAATACCTTAATGACAACAAAAATTTTCCAAAAGTATCAAACGGGCTTTTGAAGATCCTACTCAAACCCAACCTCCCTTATTAAACTGATGGTTACCCGAGGGAAATGAAAAGTCAAAGGGGAAACCCCATAGGTTTTGGGGAACCTTAGGGGCCGCAAAAGGCCTTTTGATATGTAACCCCCAAAATTTTATGTAAAAAAACTTTAAGCTATCGGTATAGGTTCTGTGGGCTGGTTTAAGGGCCTACCTTAGCATCAGGAGGGCAAATAGTCAAAAATCAACAAAAAAAGAATCAGAACCCCCGCCCCATAACATGTGGAGTTCCCCAAGGTAGTATTTTGGGGCCCCCTTTTTTTTTATGTTATGTCAATGATATGCCTATCAGTGTCAAGTGCAAAAATCCTACTGTATGCAGATGGGCAGTGCTCTGTTAGGGGTCAGGTAAAGGGGCCCACAAGATATTGCTAATGTTTTAACATGGAATGGAGTCCCGCCCGAAATGGTTAGTAGACAACAAACTTTCATTACACTAGGGGGAAAATGAAGCCTTCTCTTTGGCACGAAAAAAAATAAACTGAGAAGGGGGAAAAAAAACTTTAATTTTTTCAAAGTAAGGGGGGGCCCCTCACTTTGGTTTTTTCAGTAAAAAAATTTGGGGAAACCCCTTTGACCCATGCTTTTCAGGAGAAATTTATAGGGAAAAAGTGTAGTAAAGGAAAAAACGAATGCCCGACTGAAGTTCCTTATAGACAAGCCAGTGTCTACCTATGGGGGCTCGCAGGGGCCCTATTCTGACCTTAAACAATGCCCCCTGGAAATTTCGCTTGCTCTTCTGGGGACTCTGCCTTGACGAAAAACTGAAAGTAGACTGCAAATCACCAGAAAAAAAATCGTAAGGGTTCATCCCGGGGGGTGGGACCAACGAGAACTGTAGGCCCGGATGAATTACAGCAGTTGATTATGCTGATTTTTGAAAACAGAGTAAAAAAACTGAAGTAAAACATGTTTATAAAAATTTCCCCACAAACAGTGTCCAGAATTTCTTGCTGTCCAAATTTTTTCAAGGGTTTGGGAAAACCAAAACAAAACATAGTTTCTTAAAGGGGGAGAGCACAACTTTGTAGTACCCACAGTCATTGGCCCGGCTTCCAAAAATCCTTTTTTTTGTTCAGCAATAAAGGTGGAACAGACTTCCCGCAATGTAAAGCCAGTCATAGGGATGAACCAGTTCAAGAAGAGTGCCAAAAAGGTTTTCGGGTGAATGTAGCTTTCAGAAAGGGAGGGGGAAAGGGTTTAATATTTTTTATCCCAACATACGGGGTAAATTTTACCTTATTCCTAGTAAAAGACCCTCTTTTTTTGTAGATAGTCCCTTTAAAAAAACCCCCGTGTAGTAGATAGTCTTTTTAGTTTTGATAATAAGTGTTATTTTATTGTAGGGAAAAATAAGAAAATATTATAACCTTTATATTATAAAAATAAGGTAAAAGGGGCCCCAAAGGAAATAAATTTTACCCCTGTCTGACTTTTTGGGGTTTCCTAGGTTCTTTACACATATTTTTTTCTGTATGTTTGAAATTCTTTGTAACTGTTTTTGTGTATACCTTTAATAAACTTTTCCTTTTCTAACTTACTTACTGCCCCCTGTGGTAAATTTCTGGCGACTTCTGGCACCTGCCTCTATAGGCTTATCATTAAATTTTCAAATTCACCTTTTTTTAAATGGGAAATTTAGCCCCCTTTTTCAATTTATTTTTTTTTTTTTTTTTTTTTGGGGGGCCACTGTTGTATACATATTTCACTATACCTGTGTTGGGTTTTTACTCGTTTCAACATGTGTAAAACCCCAGATTCATTGCATTAATTGAAGGGGTTTTTAAAAAAGGGCCCCGACAATTTGGGGTTTTGACATGCCCCCGAAATTTTTAATGAGGGAAAAAGGATTTTTAAAAAAAACCTACTTAAAAAACCTACCATGGGTGGGGGTTGGGAAATCGCGGTTCGAGGGGTCGTAAAACTCCAGGCCGACGCTTTTAAAGGGCTTACCTATCTTGGAACCAAAGGCCCTTTTTGACCCTCAGATGGGGAGACCAAAGGGCTCGCAAATGATCTGTTTTTAAATAATGAAAAAAAAATTTATCGCTACCCGGTGTTACACCCAAATTTTTTTCTAAGAGAGATAAAAAGAGCCCAAGGACTTTACCCGCCATACCCCATAGACATCTTGGCCCAAAAGTTTATTTTTTTCTTTAAATTTAATGCTCAGACTTTAAGCTGTTATCATTTCTTTAATTTAAATTTTAAAAAAAAAACTTAATTAAGGGAATTTTCAAAACCCTCACCGAGGATGCGACCCAAAACCAGTCGACTAACTCCTAGGTGCTTATTTACTGCTAGGTGAACATAGGCATTAGAGATAAAGACGCTTGTATTCAGATTTTGTCAGGCGGGAAGCTTACCCGGGCCCTTAGTGAAAGAGCCAAGAACTCACCTGCCATAGCACCATGGACTTCTTCATGAGTGACGGGGTGAAGCTTGCTATGTGTGCCATCGTCATGCCTTCAGAATCACCCACAAAAACAGAACCAGTTATGGTAGTTTGCTCATCTTCTTCTGCCAAAATGTCGGATATCATAAGACTTGCCCTATTTATGTCATCCACGGAAACTAGTTGAGGGTCGTATACTCCCCATCGGCCTAAGATTACCTTGCGTCCCAGATGGTCGTGCCCGGGCAACGGCAGCATTATACTGTAACACTTCAGTTAGCGAGACATGCCTCACAACACCAACTTACGCTCTATTATTAGGCTGTTTCATGAGTAGGCTGATTGTAACAGTGTTACAATCAAACTCGGCAAAAGATATTTCTACATTAACTGAGGTTCTGCAAGGAAATGTCACTACAGATAGTCCAAAACCATTTTACAAATTGGTAAGCGAGTCTACCACCAAAGCTCTTCTGTCATTAAAAGTCATCAATAGAAAGCATAAGAGATTAAGCCAGGACAACAGTTACATCCCATACAATAGATGATTACGATATACTACCTGTTGCTGCAACGCTGAGTGACAAAAACGAGTTTAGCGTTTTTGTTTTTTTGTAAATTTAATAATAAATATGTGATAACGACATACGTTTGTAGCAGATCATATGATGTCGAGCCTTCGATGGGGTTTGAGTATCGATTAGTTACAAGTTTCCTTAATGCTGTCGATCACTGCTCGTTCTCGTGGACGGGCTGAGTCATCCTTACATATATAGGTGTATATTATATATATATATATATATATATATATATTATTATATATATATATATTATATATATATTTATATATATATATATATATATATTAGCCCGCCCATGAGAGCGAACAGTGATCGATATTAAGGAAACTTGTAACTAATCGATACTCAAACCCCATCGAAGGCTCGACATCATATGATCTGCTACAAGCGTATGTCGTTGTTATGTATTTGTTGTTGTATTTACAAAAAAAAAAAAACGCTAAACTCGTTTGGGTCACTCAGTGTTGCGAAATATTCGACTTGATGAATGGCAGAGCCATTTAGGTACAGCAACAGGTAGTATATCCAAATCTATTGTATGGGGTGTAACTGTTGTCCTGCTTAATCTCATATGCTTTCTACTGATGACTTTTAATGACAGAAGAGCTGTCAGTAACATTTCAGTTAGCGAGACATGGCTCACAACACCAACTTATGCTCTATTATTAGCCACTGTCTTTTGCTTGTGGATGATCCGTGATTCGTCATTGAGTCGTGGGGAAAACCGGTTCCACAAAGTACCATAATGGATGGATAGAACTCAGGTATTGGTTTCTTCCAATAAGTGATTGCCTGAAAGTGGTTTCATGGCCATTCTGGAGTCGGTACAGGACGCTACTGTCACTAAAGATCCAGGAAAATAATGTAATGTCTCGCTCTTCATGAAGTAAACATCTGGAGAACTGCTTTGAGAATAAACGAAAAGAAACCACGTACCAGCCTTGAACCATCATCACCTCCGCTATGACAGGTTGTGTCGCTGTTTTTTAAAAACCACTTTGAATAGGTTTACTGATGTTTAAATATAGGTGATTTGACAACGTATTATAAATCCCTACAATGGTTACATTAAGCACATAGTTGTTACTAGCATAAACTGGTCATAAATTTTGAAGATTTAACCTAGGATAACCTGACGAAGTCACTGTACAGGTGACATGTAGAGATGACACATGTACACTAGATAGGCTTTAATATAAAAATAGTCTCAGTACCTTTGTAACGGGCGATATTTTAGGTGTCACTAACTTGATCGCTAGCGCACTCAGCTCATATGCTGAGGTCCGGGGATCGAATCCCCAGTACGGCTGGAAAACATCAGAACTTGTCTCTATAAGACACCTGCTGTCCATGTTCACCTATCAGTAAAATAGATGCCTGGGTGCTAGTCGACTGGTGTGGGTCGCATCCTGGGACAAAACTGACCTAATTTGTATTAAATGCTCTGCATAACAAGCGGCTTTCTATATAGTATATGTCATTGATGTCAGCTAGGACTGTATACCTTGTACATGTAGTAATAAGATGTTTCATTGTCCACATCGCTCTCGGGCCGTGCGGACAGGTTGCGCAGTAGCTCCCGAATCATCTGGCTTTCTGCGCAGTTTTCATATTCGTCTCTCAACTTAAGTAGAGAGGACGTACTTGGAACTGTGCTCTGACCCCTGGTGGCAGGTGACAGTATTTTCATCATGGCGGAGAGTGGCCGCAGACGTGTGAACACTGGAATTAGTGAGGGGCGTGCTTACTGCCCAGAATACCAACATGTTGCTGACTGCGATATTGCGGGATACGTACGGCATCGCTAATGAAGATCTTTATGGAGTCTCACTGAATGGTGTGGCACGCATTTTCGTTAAGTTCCAGCTGAGCAGTACATATGACAACATGGTGGCCAAGTATCAGGACGTGGTTAAGACGGTTACCCCTGGCGTTAGTGTCCGTCTTCATGACGTATCAAGATTCTACACCTGGGTCAAGGTGCGTAATGTACCTTTCGAGGCTGATGAAAGTGATTTACGGCAGGTGTTTGGACGATATGGGACGATCCACATGGCGACATTGGGACGTTGGCGAGATGGGCCACTAGTTGGCTTCCCTGAAGGGACGTTTTCCCTTTAAAATGTCCTAAGGTCATTTTTTAAAAATTCCATCTTTTGTGGGAATGGAGGACTTCCGGACTCAGGTGTACGCAACATACACAGGTCAGAGGCGTACGTGCCGTGTGTGTGGGGGTGTACGACCACTTAGCGCCGATTTGTCCAATGAGACGTGGGAAACCTGATGCTGAGGTGGGATCTGATGGTCCTACGGACCAACTGACTTGTGCAACGGCAACACAACGTAAGCCTTTGTCACGGGAGGCGTGGAGTGTGGAGGTGGAGAGGGAGGAGGCGTCATCGCCTGAGTGTGTGACACTCACTGGACTTGACGAGGACATAGGCTTGGTGTCGGCGAAGAGTGGTGAGGAGTCTGCAATTGCGCACCATGTTTTGGAAGCTACAATTCAGGAGGCCCTGGACGAACTTACTGGATGTTTCGGAAAAACAATGCTGGTTTGGATGATTGTTTTAGAGGCGAGGGGGGGTGGCCTCAATGAGAAGGTTGTAGGATGGGGGGCGGGTTCGAGTGGGCAGGGGAGGTCCCAGGGAAGACCCCCAGGAGGAGGCAACGTGGAAGCGGGGGCTCTCGCAAGAGAGGGCGTTTTTTGATAGTGAGGATTTTTTGACCCCTGGCAAAGGACTGGGAAAAAAAACTGGCATGATCAAGCCTAAAAGAAAGGGGTTTTAAAAGAGTGTAAGCTTTGAGCAAGGGGAAGGCATGAGAAGTGTGGGGGGCGGGGGTGGGGTTTCTCCCCAGGTTTTAATTTTTAGATTCTAAGGGAAAGCCCCATTACGCCTTCAGTGTCTTATTTTAAATTTAAGGGGTTGAAGGCAGTGGGAAAATTAAAGTTTGGGGGGTTATTTGAGGAGATATGTCCCCAACCTTGGTTTTTGCAGGGCAAAAATTTATAAATTTTAGGTGAATTGTCAATTACCAAATGACGTGTACAGGGGTTGCTCTACAAACAAAAAGGGTGGGGGCACTTTAAGGAAGCCCCCGTTTCTTTTGCATGGGTTTGGAGTAGGGGAGGAGGGGGGGGGGTTGGGGTCGAGGGTATGTGGTGGGGGTTCGGGTGGGTTTCATTGGGTGTATGGGAGGGGGGAAGGGAACATGGGGTTAAAAATAGATTCTTTAGGATGTCCTTGTCTACCTTTTCAGATCGTGCCGGATACAATTATGGGGGAGGAACTGTTGCCCGACGAAAGGATTAAGCCTAGGGGGGGGTTTTTTTTTGGGGGGTTTTTTTTTGGGGATCTGTTGAGAGGTGGGGAATGTAGTGGATTTGGAAGGGAGGGAGCAAAGTGACGCATACGTTTATTAAGCGTGATTTGCGGCGGGGTTTGACGTTTTTATGTACTCGGGGGGGGGGGGGGGACAGTGTGTGTGCTTGAATGAAAAGCTTCTCTGATCACGAGGGGTCTGGGGGTTTTTAAATTTGGGGGGGTTTGCTGAAGGTTTTCAGGGGTTCGGGAAGATAAATGTTGGGTTATTGAAAACGGGGGAGGGGGGGGGAATCTTTTGTGCGTGCTTAAAAAGGTGGGGGGCTGATGGGGGGGGGGGGGTTATGTCATTGGGTGGGGGACTCGGTCGTAAGGGAAAGGAGGGATTTTTTTTCAGAAAGGGGAAAAGGGAGAGAGGCATTTCAATAGGGATTTTAAATTTTTCCTGGGGGTCAACAAAGGGAATCTATATGGAGGGGGGTGCATATCCGATGGTAGATTGGGGGTTTTGAAACAACGGATAGGATATTAAAAAATCGCAATTTTGATGCTGCAAGGGTTTGGGGGGGGCCTTGATGAGGTTTAGGGGGGGACCTCCATCGGCGTATGTCTTGCGGGACAGGGGACAGTCAGGGAACAGAGGGGATGAGTTGCGGGTACGGAAAATTGCGGGTATCGTCAGGGCGGTGCTTTCGTCAACAGGGGAAGGGTTATGTGGATGCGGGGTACAGAAAATGGAAAAAGTGGGGGGGTTTTAAATTGTGAGGCGTTGGGTGCAAGGGGTGAAGGGGTAAACTGAAAATTAGTGCAAAAAAGTCGTTTGGTTTGGGTGGGCCTAAAAGTGAGGAGGAATTAGGGGGGCAGGGGAGGGGATGAGCATGGGTAAATCGCCTGGATGATGGCTCCCTTGTGATTTTTATAGGGAAAACTGGAGTGTTTGCAGGTTTTTAGTGAGTTTTTTAATGCCAAAAAACCGGGGGGAAATTTGGGGGAACAGCAGAGAAGGGTGTAGTGGTCGGGTTTCCTAAAAAAAATTTTTTGTGAAGTGTGCATGCTACCGTTCGATCCTTTTAGTGTGGCAATTACAAGATCTTTTCTAGTGTAGGAAAAGGTTAAAGGTGTTTTGCCAGCTTTTTGGGCAGGGTCATGTGGAGGCCTGGGGGTTCGTGTGTTGGGGGAGGGATTAAAAGTGGTTAATAGATGAAATGGGGGAAAAAAACAAGGTGGGTTTTTGCATTAGATTGGATGCAGCGTAAAATGTGTGGAGCGGAGGCATTTTTGGAAGTTTATGCAAGGCAGGGGTTTGGGAGGGAAATCCAGTTGGACTAAGGTGTTGTTGAGCAGGGAACGGGTTGGTCAATGAATGGTAGTTTGGGTTAACCCGTTTTGGATGGGAAAGGGGCTTTAAAGGGAGGATGCCCTGTGCGCGCTTCCTTTGCATTCTCCAACCCTTCCAAAAGGCTGCGCGTTGGGGCGTTTGGGGGGTGGGGGAGGGGTGGGGGGTTTGTGAACCGGGATCGTTGGATATGTTAGACCCACAGGCTATTTTAAAAGGGCGAAGATTTTCTAGGGTTATGATTGGGGAGAGTTTTGGGATGGCAACAGGGGGTGACGCTTAATAGAGATAATCGTGTTTTTTGAGGGTGGGGGTGGTGGGGTGGGGTATACAAAGGGTGAAGGTTTGTCCCCGTAAAAGACTTAAAAGGGATGGGGGTTGTTCACATGGGGAAAAAAATTTGGGGGCACAGAAGGTGATTCAAAGAAGCTGTAGAAGGGTTTTGGGGAGATTAGCAGGTTTTTCGTACAGGGGTTTGCGCTGCACCAGCGTCATTGTGGGGAATGTGAAACTGTTAGTAACTATGGCATGGGAGATATAATTTCCCTTGGGAAAAATGTGATGAAAAGCGTCGTTTTTAAGCGCGTGTATCAATATATTTGGGGTTCGGGTTGGAAGGTTGTCGAGGATGTTTTGTTTACCGGTACCCCGGGGGGGCGGGGTTTAATGGCGCTGCATCAAAGGTTGTTGGGGATTTCTTAAACATATTTGACGAAGGCAGAACACAGGTAAGGTTTGGGAAAGGTGGAAAGGGGCTTGGTATGTTTGGGGGAGGGGGAAAGGGGTGTTCAGGGTGTGAGAGAATGTTGAGGTTTTTGTGTTATGCAAAGGGAACCCGCGGGGTTAAGATAGGTACACGGCTCGGGTGGGTGGTGGGGAGGAGTTGCAGGTTTTTGGGGTTTGTATGAGTATGCATGGGGTATAAAAGGGGGCCTGCAAGGGTTGCGATTTAAGCTGTGGTGCGGGAAGTAATGTTTTAAAATTTCTCCATAATATATTGCCCCGGGGGGGGATTTGGAAAAGGGGGTGCAGGGGGACGGTAATGTTTGATGTGGGGTATTGCCTGTTTCCATGCAGTATATTTTGTGAAAGGGTTGGGGAAACAGTGAGGGAGGGTTTAGCAGGGTTTTACGTATTGGGTGGGGGGGTATTTTGTTCACGGATTTAAGCTTGGATGTGGGGGGGGGGGGGTGCCTACAAAAAACGATGGTTATTGGTAGCCCACTTCGTGTAACTTGGGGGTTTAAGGGAGCGCCGGTGGGTGACAATTAGGGCCCTGGAGCGTTTTTATGGACACAAAGGAGGGAAAAAGGATACATGGGGAAAAGATGGTATTTCAAATTTTCAGAGGATATCGTAGCTTCGATGGAGGACTTAGGCTTACACATTTTTGGGGACGTGACGGGCTGGGTTCTTAGGGAAAGGGGCGGGGGTATGGTGCTTTTGGGGGACAAAGGTGTAAGCAGTTGTCTGGGTAAGGTTGGGTTGGTGTCAGGGGAAATTTTTTAAAAATGTGTTATCGAAAATGAGAGTTGAGAAACGGTATGATAAGATGGGCTTTAATTTAGCAAGGTATGAATCTGGTCTTTGTGCTGTGAGCCCTTTTTGGGGCATGATGACTGTGAAAAGGTTCTTATTTTGCAAGAAAGGGAAAAATACCCCAAATTTTAAAGTTAAGACCAGTGCAAAATCTGGGTATTTTATTGTAGACTTGCCATCCAGTGGCTTTACAAACAAATTTCAGGCAAAACTTGAAGCAGTGAACTAGTCAAAATGAGGTAATCATTCCTCAACCTTGGGGTGTTTCAAAGCACCATACGTTGGGGGATTCTGAAACAGAAGCAAGGAGCCTGGCGCTTATATAGTAACGTCAGGTGTAGCAGACGAGGGCATAGTTACTGGTAGGTGGGATTCCCCAGTGGAAGTAGGTCCTTCCCAAAGAGATGGGTTAGTTGCAGCAGCCGTGAAGAAGGTCTTGTAGATGTCCCCTGAACCAAGATTCCATGATGTTGCAGTGTCTGACAAGTTGTGCAAGAAAGGTATAAAATACCGACAATATGAAAGTTAAAACACATGTGCAACATCTGGATATCTTTATTGTAGACGT